GAATATTTTTTTTAACAATCACTTGTGTAATACGCGAGTGTTGTACTAGTCAAATTATAAAACATTAAACGCTTTCATACATAAACGGAAAAAAAAAAAGAAAATAAAAAATGATCGCCATCTTTACACATTTTACTTAAATAAAACAACAAAGATAAAATTAAAGGAAAATGAATCAAACAACAAAATAAGATTGTATTTTTTTTTTTCTTTTTACAAATAGAAACTAACAAATTTGCACTTTTTAAACAAAACCCAAAAGAATTGAGTACTATTATATTAAAGTAAACAAAATTGAAATTTATGAAAATATAAAACATTGTTGAAAAGTAAATTAGTACTAAAAATATTGAACTAGAGTATCATGGTTAAATCAAAATTTGATTAAAAATTAAACTAGTACAAAATACCTTATACTACAAAATTTTTAATTATATTTTATAAATTGAGAATCATATATACAATTTCCGTTTCTAGATTTTGTGTCATAATATTGAGAAAGAATATGTAATAGGCCCTACAAGGTTTCTCTAATGTTGTTCCACTTTGATTCAGGGGAGCATCAAGAAACTCATATTAATTACGAGGAAAAAGTTAAATAATTATTGATTTATATATTTTTAGGAATTAGAAGCAAGTTAAATATTATTCAAGTTATAAATAACTAGAGTTAATTCGTATCCGTCTGAAATTAGTGAATTTAAATAGAGTTCAGGTTCTTGAGTCAATGGGTAAGATAATCTTGAGATTATTATAGTTTTGAGATAGTTTTGAGATAGTTTTGAGAATAAGCTATAATAGTTTCTCATGTTATAATTTAACTAACTAGAACCTTATGAGATAGTTTTGAGATGATTATGAGAATAAGCTATAATAGTTTCTCATGTTAATGTTTGTTTCAAATTATTTTCTAATATTTTATTGTTTTTCTTCTCTCTCTCTTTTTTTTTCTTTAAACTAGTACGATTCTCGTGCGATGCACGGGTAAAAGATATTCATTAAGATTTATAAATTAAAAATGCTCATTAAATAATATTTATAAATTTAAAATATAAAATCAACTTGTACGATGCACGTACTGATATTAAACTACATTATATCATTTCAAAATGATTGTCGTTTTGAATTTTTTATTCAGAAATTCAATTTGAATACACATTTGGTTACATAAAATAATTATTTTGATAAAATTTTATCATATATTTAAAAATTTATGTGAATAATAAGTAAAAATAATTTTTTATATTATTTAATTAATTAAAATAAAATTATTTTTGTATAAACTATTCACTTCAAAAAAAATTATATAGTTGAGTAATTTTTTAAACTATAAGTAATTGACTATTCTAATTACCTCCAAGTTAATAAATAAATACTTATTTTTATTTTAAATTTGGACTACACAATAAACATCCTCGTATATTTTATGTATATCTATAGTTTACCAATCTCAAAATTTTCTAGATTGTTGTCGGCTACCTTATCGTCAAATTTATCAATTAATTCTCTATAATTAAATTATAAATTTTAAGTTTTATTAACAAATATTTTTTCAAATATTTTTCTAATTTTTGAGAGAAATACACACCAATTTTCTTATCTTATGGCAAGTTATTATGAGAATATTTTAAAACAGTAAAGCTTGAGAATCATATCACCTGGATTTTATAACAAATCAACCTAAACTTCGACTTTCATACTTGTACTAAATAAAATTCATACCACTTATTTTATTTCAAAATTCAAATACACTTCTCTTCATACCAAATGAAATTTATAATTTTTAATTTCGGACATATCAAAATAAAATCACCCTCTTTTTATTCATCACAATACTCAACTATTGTGTTATTCAAAGATTTATTGTCATATAATATGTATTAAGATAATTTTTCAAATTAACCACTAAATTTTATTATATGCAAATATTTTGATATTTTTAACAAAGTAAATTTTATACTCTTATAGCTTACGCAACACAGAATTCTATTTACGCTACGTAGTATAAGAACTAAAACTCGACGAATTACTTTTTAAATATTTAAAAACACTAAAAGGTATACAATTTCAATATAAAATGGCATTTATGCAAGATTACATTTTTTTCAAGGGGAAACCCGTGCGTCAGAAATGGCTTAAAATTTCAAATATTGATTTGTTAAAAATTAAGCAAATTATTTATTTTTGTAAACAAAAACAAATAAATTTTATGAATTCTCAATAAATTTTTAAAATCGTTTCCTTTTTATTTATCATATTACTATATAATAAAATCAAAATATTTTGAAATTCGAAATTAAAGCTATATTGGCGGGTTTTTTCCGTTTATTTATTTTTTTTTTCAAAAAGATTACCAAATTATAGATATAAATATTGATGTATAATAAATTCAAAATATCATGGGCATGTGTTTCCTGCATGAAATGATGTACCAAAATTTTAATTCCAATATCAATTGGGACGTTTATGGAGAAAAGACATACCACAAAAAATATATACATACATTGATTTCTAAGTCAATTGGTTTTTTGTTTTTTGTTTTTTTTTTCAAATAATCTGAAAAAAACATAAAATGGAGAAGGTAAAAATCTGATTTCATTTTTTCTTTTTGTTAAAAAATCAAACTAAAACCTAAAACAATTAGTCATCAGTACAAAAAAAAAA